GTAAAACTATTGTATCCAAGTAAAATATTTAAAATATATAATTTTAAATTTGATATAATCTGATCACAAAATGGAACTGATCTACACATTATAAATTTTAATTATTTTTAACATTATTTTTTAAAATAAGTAACATAAAAAAAATTCAAAATGATGGACTCATATCTAATTTTTTCATTCTTCTTTTCTACCCAAAGCACCATTCCCTCATTTTCTTTTTCTTATTAAGATATGTTAAAAATGATGCTAATTACCCCTCAAGGGCTTACTTTTAGAGGAATGATGAGAATAATTCATAAAAGTGAAACTTATAGCATAAGAAAAGCACTAATGGGAGCACATTATGAGCCCTACACACCTCAGCTTCATCCCCCATCCACTTGTCGGCCACTTGTAATGTAACCACTTAATACATCTGTTATTGACACGTGGAAGAGCTCTATTGGCTTTTGGGTCAAGTTTCATTTGCACACGTGGGTATTTTCAAGAGGACGTTTGTTTCTCAATGCACATGTCTGCCCTTCCTGGGAGTGCATAATTTATCACTATATTTCACTTATTCATTTTATCAATTCTTATGTACAACTAACGACTCGAGTCGAGCCGAGTGAAATAAAATTTGTGATATGTTATTTATTAAGGATTTTTTTTTCTTAAAATTCTTTTGTCTTTATATTATAATATATTTTTAATTATTAGATTATGTTGAAATTTTGAATATATAAATCTTAAGATATGATTTAATAGTTGAAATATATTGAAATTGGGAGAAAAATGATACCATGTCTATATCAATATGGTAAAGACTTATAAATCAAGAATTTCTCAAATTTATATGCTTCAAATTTTATTTAAGAGAGCTCTTTTCTTAGCTTTCAATTCTCTATAAGATAAAAGCATATTATCAAAATTTAAAATCAACAATTTATAATTTTTAAAATTTTTGTTAACCATTTTAAATTTAAAATAAAAGATTGTTGATGAGAATCTTTCACAGTCGTTGATTATGAAATTATGAACTCCATTACATTCATCTTCAATTTATTATTATTATTTCTATTTTATTTTATTTTTGGTAAAAAAAACTAAACTTGCCTAGGATTCACAGTTGTCATTGTTATGAAACCTATAGAGGTAAAAGGTAGACTGTTGAATCTTGAAAGGGACATCAAAGAGAGTTACAATGTTGTTATATTGGTTATAGTTAAAAAGGGGCAACCTATAGTTACATCATAACCTACTTATTATATATGAATCTAACAAAAAAATAGCCAACGTAGAGCATCTGTATCAAACGCATCAAATTTCTTTCTTCGCTATTCTATCAAGAAAATTCGCTAAACAAATACTCCATCAAGGTAGCCTTTTCAATTGTCAAATCTGTTGAGGCTCAAATCCTCTCCACAAGTAGCTAGCCATCAAGCCTTAATAAATATATTTAAATAATAAAATATTAGACTACCATTACACAACTATTTTTTTGAAATTTAATTTTGTTCACATATTTGATAAGTGTATAAACCAACCAACTTTTTTATTACTTAACTAATGGGATATTTTAAATGGTTGTGTATGAAGAGAATAGTTTTTCTTGTACAAAATTATAAGCATACTGAAAAACAAAGAATAAATTGAAAAAAATATATATGTATTGAAGTGGATAAAAAATAGAGACGAAGTGATATTATTTATATTAGAAATATATGAAAAAAACCCACATTGAAAATGTGTCGGTTTAAAAATATTTGATCAAAAGTTGAACTATTAAAAAATGTTACTTTAAAAAAATATGACTGTTAGAAAAAAAAATAAAGAAATAATAAAATAAAAATATTTAAGTAGAATAGAAAAAAAATGGAGAGTTTATTGGAAGATGTATTTAAAAAAGTGAACAGCTAAAATAGAAAAGTAACTTTTTAGTTAAAATTTGACTAAAAATTTGACTATTTTGATAAAGATGTTCTTATATGTTACACAATCTTATTTAATCTACTTTTATTGTAATTTCATCTCTTCCAACCCCTTTTGAAGCCAATATTTCTCAAAATTGAAACCCCAAGAAATGTTTCTAACCATTTTTCCCTTTCACTTACCCCTAAACACACAAGCAAAAGATATATACATAGTTAAATCTTAAAAAGATAGTTATCACTTACCCATCAAATGTCAATGAATTTTTTTCTAAGGAAAATATGATGGGAAAAAAGAAAAGAAAAAGGAGAGGTGGGGCAAAAGATCATATTCAAACTTTACCTTGCTATCTAATGCACCTGATTGTATTTCTTTACAGCTTTTGGATGATGCTAGAGGGTCCTTTTACCCTCATATTGTAAACACTTAACTTTATTTATGTTATACTAACCTTTCTTACACCCCCCTATCCCCCCCCCCCCCCCCCTTCAATAAAAAAAAAGGAGAGTATTTTTAGTCTTATAGACGATTAGATAGGTATTCTCTTGGGGACAAAATTATCTTTTGGTATTTATTTTTATTAAATTAGTTTTTATTTTTTTTAAAACGAAAAATCAAAAACCAAATTTTAAAAATCTATTCAAATAGAGCCACAATGTGTAAATTAAATTCATTTTGAATATGACTCACATCACATTTAAATTTATACCTTACATTTCAATTTCAGGGTGCTAGCTTTCTTTTCTTTTTTATTTTTTTTAAAAAAACTCCTATCATTTCAGTGTTGGAAGCTTACCTAACATTTACAAATCATATATATTCAACTACATTGTCACATAAATCAATTAACAGACACTATGTAAACATTAATGTGTAGCCCCTTTTGTGACGGAGAAGATAAGAGGGTATGATTAATTTTATTCCTTTTTAGAGTTCTTCTAATGGAATTGCTGTCATTTCATATTTCAAGTGTAATAGTAGGACAAGGTGACACATGAAAATAGATAATGACCTTGACGTAATAGGATAAATAAAGTTTTATCACTCAATGGAATAAATACATACACTATAAAAAAGTTAGATTAATTATGACAGTTAGAAACAGTTATATAACCCGAAATTGCTTTATAATGAAAAGAAAAAATGTTTGAGGGTCACAAAATCAGTAGTTCAAATGGCTCGAAACTATCAAAATGACCTCGTTTTGGCTTGTTTTGCGCCCAAAACGACGTCGTTTTGACAGTTTCGAGCCATTCGAGCTACTGAATTTCGGGCCACCAACCATTACTGAATAAAAAGTGATGCAAATGAGATTTTAGAATTATTATAAGTTGTTATTATTATTATTATTATTATTATTATTTTGGTGTTATTATTTTATTAGAAATCTTCTAGTTTAGTATAGAATCATAAAATTATCATGTCTCTAAGAATTAGTTTATTGTAAATAATGATTGTTACCCTTAGGAAAAAATAATTTTTGAGAACTAACATTATTTCAAATCTTATACTCTTTGCTACAATTTTGAGTATTCTTTTTAGAATTTACCATTGTTGAGCTTTTATTATTAATATTCTTCGCGAATTAACAATTTTTAAAAAGAATCTTTTGATATTCTTACTTGAATCAACGAATTTAAAAATTATTATTATCTCACGTTTTCTCGCAACATAAAAAAATGGAGAAAATTACCAACAGAATCCAACTTTGTTTACATTAAAAAAATGATGATAGATTAGATTTTCTTCTTGGTTAAGTATATATTTAATAATTATATTTGATCCTAACATTTTTCTATTTTTCTTTTTTTCTCTTGGCCTATTAGTAAGAGATTAGTTACATCAAATCAAACAGTTATAATTCAATAATAGCCCTGAAATAAATAATTCATCACAACCCTCATAATGAGGGATAAATAATTAACATATGCCTTTGGCAAAAATTTGTCCCTGACCTCATAAATATTAGTGCACATGAATATCCTTATTTTTGTTTGTATTTTTTAGGATTTCTCTAACCGTTTTAAAAGTTATTAGGTAACAATAATATGTTGTACTTAATTTTTAGGGTAAATTACAAACACACTCTCTAAGATTTATTTAAATTACAAATTATCTTCTATGGTTCTAAAACTTATATTATACCCCCTAAAGTTTCTAATTTCATAACAAATATGTTATTTTATTAATAAATCATCAAGTTATTTAACAGTTTTTAATAATGTTAAATTTTTATTTCAATTAATAATTCAGATAATTTTATTATTGTATAGAAGAACAGTTAGAAATTTTACTTTTTCAATTAATTCTGTTAAATAAAAAATTCTGACAAGAAGATATTTGTAATTTTTCAAACCACAGCAAGGGGTATATTTGTAATTTATCCTAATTTTTATTTTGATTCTAATTCATTGTACTGAATTGTAATATGATACCTTGTGATTGATTCTATAAAGAAAGTGATTCACAAATAGAAAATTCATACAAAATTGTATGTTAGAATAGGAGGATATGGCAATGACAATCTTAAAAATAAAAATCACATTAATAGATTTCTATTTTTAAAGTGATTTAATCAAGTATCGTGTGGCTGTGAACTTGCCCTAATATGTCTAGGGATCGTGTATGTAGATAGCCAAGTAGCATAGATCATAAAATTTAAGGTTCGTTTGAGATATGAGTTGGCTTTATGATTTTTTGACTATTTTAATTTAAGGTTAAAAAGTCTTATTTGAGATAAATTTTTTGGCTTTTTTGAGTTTTGTGAGAGAAAATAAAATGATTATGAGTTGGATGTGATGTTTTGTTTTATTGGATTAAAAAAATTATTTTGGCTCTGTTTGGTTGTGAACTGAAATCAATTTTCAACACGTCGGCTCGCGTATGACGTTTGGATACGATGTTCAAAAATTGATTCCGCGTGTTAATTCAAATTACATTTTGAAAATCTGTTTGGTAGCAAATATCTCCCTTTCAACGTTTCTGCCTTGTTCATCATCTCCCAACTTTCACGTGAACCTCATCTACACCTGTCCTTCAGATTTATCACGGGCGGCTTCTCAGTGTTCAGATTCATCACGGATGAGTTTCAGAGGTCAGACTCATTTTATAAATAATGAATCTATCCAACCCGCTTCATACTCGTATCATATTTCACAAATCAACTGAGTTACGATTTGTGCGTTGCGGACGATTCTTATTACGGGCAACCAATCAACGACGACTGCGAGGTGAAATTACTCACAAAATTATTTACATATTTTGTTATAGGGAAATTATTTGAAAAATTCATTCTATTTTTTTTTTCAGGTCAAATTTATCAAATTTATTGTCGAATTCGACGAGCAAACAGTGGCTCGTTCAATCAGTATACACATTCCATCACCGGCGATAATTATTCAACTCCCACTAATCTGGTAAATAAATCCTTCATCCTTCATCCTTCGTCTGTTATCTGTTATCTGAAAATGATTTCAAACGAGTCGATCAACTGTTTCACTTTTTTGTTCTTCAAGAATAGTGTAAATCATTCATCTGTTATGTATAAATGATTTTGGAGAAGTTGAAATCAGTTCGTAAATGGTTTATCAGAATTTGGTATGTCGTATTTTCCATTTCAAATCGATTGTTATTTGAAATTATGAACGGTTTGAACCTTTCTTCTATCAAATGTATAGTGGCAGTGCCTGGGACACCCGACCGGTCGTCCCCCGGGTCATCCGGCCGGTCGACCACCCGGTCTTCCCACCTCTTTTCCGCTTTGTCTTCCACTTTCCATTCCTAAATGGTTTGAACCACCGGTCCTCCCTGAACTATTTGAACCCACCGGCTTTTTTACTATTTTTTTTCCTTAATTTCAATTAACAACCAATACTGATTTGTTTTAAATTCAAATCAATATAACACAATGTTAAACACATTATTAAACATTGAATGTTAACTAATTTTTTTTGTAAAACATTGTTAACATTGTGTTTTTTTTAATTAAGCTGTTTTTTTTAATTCAGATTTTTTTTTTTTACATTGTTAACAACCAATATTAAATTTTTTTTTTATCTGATTGTTAATTAAAAAAAAATTATTGATTTCTTTCCTACTATTTAAACACAATGTTAACTGAATTTTGAGGCTTTGAGAGCAAAGACACCCCTAGCGCTGGCACACACTGTTAAAACCAGCGGTAGCTACTGTTACATTACCATTTAGACATATATATGTCTATATTTATTTATTTATATGGTAAATAAGATTTTGAGGCTTTGAGAGCAAAGACAACCCTAGCGCTGGCACACACGGTTAAAACCAGGGATAGCTACTGTTACATTACCATTTAGACATATATATGTATATATTTATTTATTTATATGGTAAATAAGATTTATACAAAATATAGTAAAGTTTTTAATTTTTATAGCATTTCATTTTTTATTAATAATTTATCATTCATATGAATATGAATTAAAAAAAATAATAATGTTATCTTTTTTACATTAAAATATTTTTTATTTTGATCTTATTAAAAGATAAGTCAATATACTTATGTTAAAATTAATTATATTTTTTCATAATTTTTCAACAGATTAGAATATTTATGTATGTATTTTAATTTTTTATTATTTTGAGTCATATTTTAATTTATAGAAATAAATAAATAAAATGTTCATACCATACTTTTGTTTTGATCGAGTTCATACCATAGTTTACCCTCCTTTTCTTTCTATTGGTTGAAATTACATTTTGTAGAATTAAAAAAAAAAAGGTTTAGCGAAATTTTTTTTATGCAAAACTTTTTTTGATAAAACAAAAAAATGTTTTTTCCATGACTACTTGCAAAGGGTCGTTTGGGACACAGGAAAAAAAGTTGGTTTTGGGTTTATAAAAGTCGAATTTTTTTTTTTTATTTGTGGTTATATTTCTGCTATCTGAATGTTTTTTTTTGGTGATTATATTTCTGCTATTTAAATTCAATTAATCTGCTACGTACTTTTTTCCTTGAAATAAAATAATCTGTTCTTTTTCCTTTATCTGTGTTCTCCTTCAAATCATTTTGCACTGTTATTGTTGTATATCCATCGCAGTGTTCGTTAAAATACTCTGTTCTGCTTGTATATTCATCCCAAACTAGTTTAAATATAATTTGTATATTTATAGATGGATGAAAATAATTCCGATGACAATGAGAACACCAAAATGTGGACACACAGAATTGAAACGAAATTAATAAATATGTTGAGAGATGAGGTTAGAAACAATCAAACAACGGGCCGTACTACTTCATGGACAATTAGGCATTGGAATCATTATGCAAATCAGTTGCACAACATATATGGATTTCGGTATACAGGTGTTAAGGTGCGCCAAAAATATCAGCGCTTGAAAGCTGATTACCAGACATTCAAGCGACTCCAGGCACAAACTGGTCTGGGATGGGATCCTATTATAGGCACTGTTGTTGCACCCAATGAATTTTGGGATAAGGTTTTCCATTAATCTGTACTATTTTCTAATTTTATTTTAAACATTTCATGATATATACAATGCTTAATTCTTGTTTTGTAATTGTTGTAGGCTAGCAG